CGCCTGTAACTTTCTGTACCAATTTATCACAAATATAGTAGCAAATGAGTGAGACTGTAACTTTCCAGTAAATCTTGCAAGATATTTATAGAAATAAAATTTTTAATTTACAGTCTAAAACCCTGCTGCTGAGAATTAATTACAACGAGTCAGGAGAAAGATGCATACAACATGGCTTATGCATCTGCATGATTATATGGAATATGGCTGTTCACAAAGAGCCGACAAACCAAGGATTATTTGTCAAAAGAGTGCAGCGCAGTGCCAGGTAATGAATGCATTTGGGATGATCCCAGTTAATTCACAGATTATTCAAGAACAAAACAAAAAGAGATGATTAGATGTAGCAGCACCTGTAGGAATTATGCCTCTAGCTGCAGCGGAGAGACTGCTGTTTTGCAAATGGCAAGCACTAGGAAACTATGTCTTTTACAAATAGTTTGTGGTGAGACCAAAAAGTGGATAGAAAACTCTGGTCACTTATTTCCCCTTGTTCTGCAGGATTGGCACACTAATCCTCATCCACTGCTGCTTATCACAAAAGACGAAGAACACATCTTGCATTGTATTACTTGGAAGTCGAAGCAGCTTTCTGAAGTCAAGCATAGTTTTGCAGTCAGCACATGAAGAAGCTCATCTAGAAAGTGTTTCCTGGTGTGATTTTAGATCACATTCTCCTGCACCGTCTCTAAGAGGCATCTACTGTGCTTGGGGACGTGTCCCGGGAGCAGACATCCAAAAGGGTGTCCCAAAAAGCTGCTGAACACTTGAACCTCAGTGATTTTCTGAGCAAGCTCTTGAAAGCCACCCACACCACCCATCTTAGGGAAGACCTGGATTCCAGTTTGTGGTGTCTGTAAAAAGTATGTTCTCACCAAAACATAATACACTCCCAATTAAGAGTCAAGAGTAGTTTTATGGAGCAGGTTTCTCCTTGTCATGTATTTGTAGCCTAGATTTGTATAGACGAAGAATGGAGGTCATTTCAGCCCCTTTACCAAATATTTGGATTTTAAATAAGTGCATCAGTGCAAATGTGCGCTCTGCGTCAGTGCTTTTTTAAGGGACCAGGGAAGTTATTTGTTGTACATGAGGATGTTTGAACAGGATTTAAGAAGTGGGTAGGAGCCTATGTAAATTTAATAGAGCTTGAAAAGCTTCTCAGCTCTGTCCCATAACATTGTTTTACCAGCAGACTTCAATATTGGCATTATGTGAAAATCCCCTCCCAAAGGCACAGTTTATGCAAAGTCTCTGCTGGGTGTTGCCCTGCAGCTGACACAGGGATGAGCAGGCACCCATCCACACCGCAGTACACACAAAAAATGACATAAATGAAAACTCCACGTGCACACCTATGTAGCCTCAAAAACCAACCTTGCAGCGCTGGCAGAAATGCTGGGGTGACGGCTGCGTCCCACACTGTCTCCCATTCTGAGACAGGAATTTCCCCTTCACACCCATGTGATTCCTCAATGAATTGCTCAGATTAAGGGTCTGATACACAAAGGCACTTAGGGCAATGTACACAAAGGTATTGGGAAGACCAGATCCCACTCACTTGTGTCTGAGGTAAAGCAGTCATACAACAGAAGCTTTCAGGTGTAATGCCAGAAGTGGTTTCATTTTCTGGAGCAAAACCCCATGCTGGCAAAAGCTGGCGTAATATAAATACCTCAAGGACAAAGATTTCTCTCCCTACAGAGAAAAAGATGAAGGAATAAAAGGGAAGAAGAGCACACATCCATAAAACTGGTATCTATTTCTTTTTTTTGCTGTATCTTTTCTTAGATCCCTCTCAGTTTACTAGTGAGGTAGTGGGTTTTAATATACTTTGTATATTTTTAATACCTCTGCATAGCTGTTATTCATATGTGCATGTGAGTGCATATGTGTGCACAAACACATGTATCTACACATTTTTATATGCACATTCATAAGTCTGTGAATGTCACATATAGAAACACATTTATACATACGTGCCACTTTCTGTCCTATTGAGGCACCACTTTCATTTGTATCTATTGCTTGTGCCTTATCTACCTCTCTACTGATGTGGATGTAAGGTTTCCACACAACAGATATGATTTCAGCATCTTTTACTCAGATGTCAACCTATGGCCACCTCAGTGATTGAAATTATATCGCCCTGGGGCTTTCTCCTGGCACAGTGGAGATCAAAATATGGGCAAACTGGGACTGTTTTTGTTGTGTGTAGGAGTTAACCAAGTGACTTCTATTAATGCTACCTAAGGTCCATGGAAATCACCCCATTGACCAAGCCAACAGCATTTCCTTTGAGGTCTGTTCTTCTTTTTGCCCATAGTATTGAATGTATGAAGTTCACCCTTCTGCTGTTGCTTTCAGACCTGCATCTCTTTTGCTCTTATTTAGTGCATTCTTAACTCTACACCTTACAGTAGCTCTAGACGTGTCCTGTTACCTACCTGCTTTAAAGCAACTGCACAACATCTTCCCCACAAGTCACCCCTGACAAATTCCAGGGCTATTTTACTTTCTGCTTGTTCATAGAATCGCAGAATCATAGAATGTTTTGGGTTGGAAGGGACCTTTAGAGGTCATCTAGTCCAACCCCCCTGCATTGAGCAGGGACATCTAGATCAGGTTGCTCAGAGTCCCATCCAACCTGGCCTTGTTTCTTCCTTTACTCTTTAGAGCTTATATACAAAAAGTAGATGTGTGAAATTTGGCTAAAAATTCTCAAGTAGGGTAGGGGAGGAGGATAATACATTCTTAATATGCACACTAAAGGGAGGAGCCTGATTAAGGATGATACCCTGACTGGATTTCTTTGTCATGAGAAAAGGGACCATATGGAAAGGGAAAATCTATGCTGAAAAAGGGTCTAACAAAAATTGAAATCCTGATTGCTGGGCTGAACTGCATCTTAAAGTGATCTAGGGATAGCCACTTCGTCACAAATTATTTAAGCCAAGGAGCAGGAAATGCATTAACAGAGTCGGCAAAGAAGCAAGGACAAGTTGATGGGCAGAGAACTCTTCCAACTGGAAGCAAAGGAGTCAAAAGAGCTCTTTTGACCATCCTCTCTATGTCTTCTCTATCCAAGATCACCAAACATCTTAGCAATCTGCTTCTTTATCACTACTGCATATCACATTTATGTTCTGAAGACATTTATGAACTTCCAAAAAGGGAAGCCCAGAGAATGAGAGTAGAAACCCACAACCAAGTGCAACCAAATTATTGCAGTTTTGATTTCACACACAGTCATGCTGAATAGTTGAGCCTGGAAAGTACCTCTGGAGACTGAGTAGTCTAATGTCCTGCTCAGAGGAAGGTCACCTACAGCAGGTTGCTCAGTGCAGTGACCAGTCGGGTTTTGAATATTTCCACGGATGGAGACTCCACAGCCTCTCTGGGCAACCGTGCCAGTGTTTGGTCACCCTCACAGTACAAATGTTTTGCCTGTGTTTAAATGGAGTTTGCTGTATTTCAACTTCTGTCTGTTGCTTCTTGTCCTGTCCCTGGGCACCACTGAGAAGAGCCTAGCTCCATCTTCTCATCAGGTATTTATCCACACGGATAGGATCTCCATGACCCTTCTCTTCTCCAGGCTGAACAGTTCCATCTCTCTCAGACTCTCCGTATATGAAAGATGCTCCGGTCCTTTCATCATCTTTTCTGGACTCACTCCAGCATGTCCATGTCTCTCTCGTACTGGGGAGCCCAGCACTTGGCCAAGTGCTCCAGATGTGTCCCACCAGAGATGAACAGAGAGGAAGGATCACCTCCCTTGACCTCCTGGCAGTCCCCTTTCCAAAGAAATCCAGGAGGTCATTGGCTGTCTTTGCCATGAGGGCACATTGTCAGCTCACAGTCAATTTGTTCTCTACCAGGTCCTTCTCTGCAGAACTGTTTTTGGACCCCAGCCTGCACTGGTGCCTGGGGTTATTCCTTCCCAGGGGAAGGACATGGCGTTTCCCTTTGTTAAACTCCATGATGTTCCTGTTTGCTCATTTCTCCAGCCTGTCGATATCCCTGTGAAAGGCAGCACAACCATATGGCATGTTAGCTATTCCGCCTGACTTTGTATCATCTGACAACTTGCTGAGGGTACGCTGTGTCCCACCGCCGAGGTCATTAACAAAGATCTTCAACAGTATTGGCAGTGATATCGACTCCTGGGACACACTGCTGGTGACTTGCCTCCAGCTGGGTATTTTGCTGCTGACCACAACCCTTTGAACCCTGCAGTTCATCCAGGCCTCAGTCCACCTCAAATGCACACTGTCACTGAAAAAAAATGCATTCCCATAAGCCTCTTTCTTGAGAAGGCAAATCTTTTTGGTCCCAAATTTCCACTGGTATTTAAGCACCTGACTGAACACCACCTGCTATTTACAGGTCACAGGCAGCAGGACTGTCAGGCCTTCCGAAAACATCCCATCCATTTTTTTTTTCCTACTTTTTGGAGCCTTGGTTCTCTCCAGCTCAGAAAGTGAGTGTAACATGCCTCAGTTGTCTGTCTGATGCTGTAAAAAATTCATCTGTTGCCCAGCTTCATCTTCCTTGCTTTTTGCCTCTGTTTCCAGCACAGACCCACTTTGCAGTTACTAAGGCAGAAGATCTGAGGGGGTTTTTTTTCTAGATGTAAAATGAGTTTATTGTTATCTTGACCTTTTCAGAAAAGTATTGAGAGCGGAGTTTAGAGACACTCTGCGTGTGACCTTGCCCCAGGACAAGCTTCCTTCTTGCAAAGCTCTGCAAACTGTCATTAGGTCCCGTGATTTGTCTGTGGTTTATCTGAGCCTATCTCTCAAACCCAGAAGCCAAGAAATTGCCATGGCAGGGACTCCCTGCATAAGGATGGGTTGCTTTAAGGGTCACAAGGGATGCCAAGAGAAGGTGGAGACTTCCCCTGTGTGTTGTTGAAGTTATATTATGAGGAGAAACACATGACAGCCAGCCAAGGCAGAGCCAATTGTGCAATCAGCTTGGCTTGACTAGCCTTTGGCGGCATGACACTGTACCAGGGTAGAGAAACCATGACCTCTGTGTTGCACCCTTGTCCTATCTCGGAGGAGAAAGTCTATACAACATGCTGGCCATTTCTGTGGCAGAGCCATGAGCAGCCCCATAGCCGACGCCACCGCTTGGGATGGTCTGAGATCCCAAAGCACTCAGAGAGCAATGAAGTAGTAATGCTGTGAATCTTCTTTCAGGAAACAGAAAAGGGGGAACGGGAGCAGGAGAATATTTATCATACCTTCCTCCTCCTTTTTTGTCTGGATTCGTGCCAAGCACATCTGGCCAAAGAGAAGGGAAATGTGGTTTCCACAAGATGAAACTTTGAATGGATACAAGCAGTTTCTAAGGAGACCTGCTCTATAATTGTAGAGGAAATTACAAGCTGAATCATCTGTGGTTTGAGGAGAGAAATCAATGATATTTTGTAAGTTGAACCCAACTGTGCTGACTACTTACCAGGAAGGAAACTGGAAAGAAATCAATTCCAAGAACTTTCAACAAAAATCCATCTTAATTCAGGTCTGACAGATCTGTTTTGTTCTCCTTCTCTAAAGCAACGTGATGCACCAGCCTGAAATCCCTATTACTATTGCAGAGACAGGCCCTCCCCAGCAAAGACTAATACACTACTCTCCAGGCCTGCCAAACCACTTGCTGCTGAGTCTTGGGAATGCACAAAGGCCCTCACACCTTTCAGGGCTGGCCTGCCGAACCTGCTGGTGTCTCTCCAGAGGGCAGATCCAAAGCAGAATCCACAAACTGTGATGCATTGCACCATGCATTGAAATGGATTGCTGAAGCACAGCTGCACCCACTGGACCCTGTAATGACAGCAGCAAACTAATTCTGCTTATAACCTAAATGGCATCTGACTCCTAAATTAGTGCTCTTCATATGCTGATGCTTTACACATTTTAACTTTTTATTTTTCTGAAGACAAGGGGGAAAAAGCAAGACCCTGAATATCTACTAACATTTGCCCTTCGTTTTGTAGTTTTACTTTACTGAATGTCCCTGTGAATTGCTGAACTCAGCTTAGTTAAATCAGAAGAGATAATACAGGGATAATTATCTTCTGAAAAGATGAGTGAGACTTTCCTTTTGTGTATATTCTACGTTTCTTTCTGGTGTTGAGAACTCCAGTCAAATATTGCAATGCCCAGTTCTTGCCCCTAATCTTCAGCAGACTTAATCCTGCACATAGCATAATTCCTAACCCATCTCACCAGGACTCATCTGCAAAACAGACCTGCCAAAATCTGTGTCAGAAATGCTGGATTAATTACAAAGGTCATTGTTACCTACTCAAAAGAGAATGACGTGGACCCAAGCTGAGGATGTACTGACTTCTTCAAAACAGGAGTATTCATAATTTCTTCTCTGCTTCCCACAGCTGTCTTTCTTGTACCTGAGTCCTTCTTCCTCCCTTTCTGCTTCTCCTCTTATGTATCAATGTTGACCAGAAGTACTTGATATTCAGCTGAGTGCTGCTGGTGAGGTTAGTTGCACTCTGACTCACCACAGGACATACTCAAGTAATAACGAACCATCTCCTGTTTGGAACTTGGACCTTCTGGAGCTTCTATTCCTTTCTCATGTCATCCCGCCTCCCTTATTATGTCAAAGGTTTTGAGCATGGGATCTGTTTTCCTCATGTGGTAAAATAAGGCATATATCATACACCAGTGAAGAGAAGGCAAGGAGGTTCCTGGGGATCCTTGACTGTAACAGGACACAAAACTAATGGGTTATAGTTGAAGGGTTTCTCCCTCTGCTTCCCACACAACACACAGCATGATACCTACTGGGTTGGAGCATTCTCTGTGATTTATTAAACCCCTTGTGAATAGTGAACCCTTTTTCAACTTCCCAAGACATACTTGCTAAAAGACATTCTGACTTCACCTTGCTACCTGCTCAGATTAGATCAGGTGAGGTCTGTAACTTGAAGCCCTGTACCAAAAATAGTTGCTGTATCTTTCAGAAGCCAAACCCAAATGGCTTCCATAAATGCTTGCCTTGCGGTGCCATATTCCTCCTGAGCCATGTCCACAAGAGTGTATGAAGTTTAAATGCCTCAGGATGGTGAAGAGTTTTCCCCTGAAACTAAACACCAGTACAATGTGTGCTCTTGCTTCAAAGCACACGTGAAAGAGTATCCTTCCCTACCAAATGCAAAGGCAAACTCTTGATGACCCAGTCTGTTTGGAGTCTCAGAGTGGAGAACTGTCCCTGTCTATTCCATTCCCAAGCTAGCTGAGGACACAAGAAAAAAAGCACTGTAAATAACATCCTTTGGGACAAGTTCTTCTGATCTCTAAATTTCTGCTTACTTGTCTTCTTGCACTTTTTCTTTTCACTGCAAGGTTCATTTTGCATGAATTTAGCTGTCAAAAAGGTTGAGGGACCTAGGCTGTGCTGTTCAGTAGGACCCTCCAGTGACAGCCAATTTATCCTACCTCCCCTCAATGCCTTTCTTACACTGGATGTGTGACAGTCTGGAGATACCTCCTGTTTTCTACTGGCTGTACAGAAAGCCCATGTAATTGCTTACACTACAGGCCCAATTTGCAATCACAAAATAGCTGCTTGGATCCCACTGTTCAGGTTTTTGCTTTTTTTTGAGCAACCCTTCTCCCTGTTCCTCTCTTTATCTACCTATGATTTCCCTCCCTTTGAAACTGCAAGCTTTCCATGGATTTCCCTGTCACTTCACATTTCCTCTTCTATTAGATTTCCCCTTCTTGGACTTTCTTTTATGGCCCTGTCCCTTTCCAACCTCCAGTCATTTGTTCCACACTTTTCTTTGTTTACCTCTTATTCACAGATCTCCAGCCATTTCACATCTCTTATGTTTAGCCTTCTCTACTGTGCAGAAAACCTGCCGGAGCTGAAAGATCTACCCAGCATCACCAGTGCAGATGAGAATGAATTCCTCTGTAAACTTGCTCAGGGACAGAAGGAAACCCAGTTCTGGACAGGGGGAACTTACCAAAAGACAAATGTTCCATGACCAGAAATGAAAACAAACATCAGTTGAAAGAACTTTATGACTCAACCGATCAAAAATTTCTACTATAAAATATGCTTTTGTTTTCAAGTGAATAGTTTTCTTTGTAGCCATGGAAATTCTTTTCAGTCTCAGCAAAACTAGAGAGTTATCAAAAACTCATAGGTTTTATCTTTCAGTGGTTTTGGAGAGTAGAAATGGGTGAAGATGGGAGTTTTAGGAAAAAAAGTTGAAGTGATCAAAGTCATATTCCAGTTATATCCTCTGAAGAAGGAAAGTTGAGGAACAAATGTCAGAGGAGAGGCTGGAAGGTGGATAATAGGTTCTCTGTTTAGCAGAATGTCAGGTCACTAGACTAGACGTGGTGTCATAAAAAGCTTGCATGAATATTTTCATTCAGATTCTTTTAATAAATTCATTTGGCACATCTTCCTACTTCCAAGTATTCCATCCAATGAATCTACCAGAGCTATTGCTAATATGGTCAATTTAGAATTAGCATTGTAGAAAAGTGAATTTCAGCTTGGTAAATGCATGTTGGAAGTAGAAACTTGATTCTGTAAGTTTTACCCATGCACAACAATGACCTGTGTGTCCATCCTGAATGTCTCAAATTCTGAATGTCACTTACCTGCAATGAATTACTCATGAGTTCTATAATCTATTCTGAATAACAAATATATTCAAGAAAATTACAATTTATTTGAGGACAATTCGTGGATAGAGGATGAGGTGAAATTAATCTAATATGGAATTAAAAATTAATTATTCATGCAGCTCTACAGGACAATTATATCCCCACAAGCAATAACTGTATCAACATCCATGTTGAAGAGGGCCCCTATTCAGTCCTTCTTCCATCCAAACAAATATAAGCATACGAAACTGCTTTCAGAATTTAATCATAGAATCATAGAATGTTTTGGGTTGGAAGGGACCCCTAGAGGTCATCTAGTCCAACCCCCCCTGCAGTGAGCAGGGACACCGCTAACTAGATCAGGTTGCTCAGAGCCCCGTCCAACCTGGCCTTGAATGCTTCCAGGGATGGGGCCTCCACTGCCTCCCTGGGCAACCCCTTCCAGTGTTTCACCACCTTCATTGTAAAGAATTTCTTCCTTATATCCAGTCTAAACCTACCCTAGTTTAGTTTAAAACCATTATCCCTTATCCTGTCACAGCTGGCCCTACTAAAAAGACTTTCCCCCTCTTTCCTATAGGTCCCCTTTAGGTATTGAAAGGCTGTAATCAGGTCTCCCCGCAGCCTTCTTTTTTCTAGGCTGAACAAGTCCAACTCTCTCAGTCTGTCCTCATAGGAGAGGCGCTCCAGCCCTCGGATCATTTTTGTGGCCCTCCTCTGGACCCGCTCCAACTGTTCCATGTCCTTCTTGTGCTGAGGGCTCCAGAGCTGGACGCAATACTCTAGGGGAGGCCTCACCAGAGCAGAGTAGAGGGGCAGAATCACCTCCCTCGACCTGCTGCAACCTGCAATTTCTGTTAAGCTTCTGAAGGCTCTGCAGAGGGATCTGGATAGGCTGGATCGATGGGCCAAGCACAACTGTATGAGGTTCAGCAAGGCCAAGTGCCAGGTCCTGCACTTGGGTCACAACAACCCCATGCAACGCTACAGGCCTGGGGAAGAGTGGCTGGAAAGCTGCCTGACAGAAAAGGACCTGGGGATGTTGGTCGACAGCTGGCTGAATATGAGCCAGCAGTGTGCTCAGGTGGCCAAGAAGGCCAACAGCATCCTGGCTTGTATCAGGAATAGTGTGGCCAGCAGGACCAGGGAAGTGATCGTCCTGCTGTGCTCAGCACTGGTGAGGTGCTCAAATACTGTGTTCAATTTTGGGCTCCTCACTACAGGAAAGGTGTTGCGTTGCTGGAACATGTCCAGAGGAGAGCAACAAAGGTGGTGAGGGGTCTGGAGCACAAGTCTTATGAGAAGGGGCTGAGGGAACTGGAGTTGTTTAGCCTGGAGAAGAGGAGGCTGAGGGGAGACCTTATTACCTTCTACAATTCCCTGAAAGGAGGCTCTAGTGAGGAGGGTATTGGTCTCTTCTCCCTGATAACGGGCGATAGGACAAGGGGAAATGGCCTCAAGTTGCGCCAGGGGAGGTCTTCACCGAAAGGGTTGTCAGGCACTGGAATGGGCTGCCCAGGGAAGCGGTGGAGTCCCCATCCCTGGGGGTGTTTAAAAGACAGGCAGACGAGGTGCTTAGGGCCATGGTTTAGTGGTGGGATGGCAGTGTTAAGTTAATGGTTGGACCTGATGATCTTAAAGGTCTTTTCCAACGTAAATGATTCTATGATTCTATGAGTTATTTTTTTGCCTGCAAGGGTCATTTTTGAAATGCAGTGATGTATCTCTGACAACCTTCATCTGGAGGCCTCTGTTATCCCTTTTCAGAGCTGTTGAAGGACTAGTTAGCAGCCTGTTTAACATAAAAATTTGCCTGACCCTGAATATTGGAGGTAAGAAAAACCTGGGATGATTTATGATTCACATAGTTTACCTTGCTCTTGAACATCTGCCATCCTTGTGGGATGAGTATTTCCAGGATTCGCTAGAGAAAAAATCATCTTATTAAAGTGTTGCCCAAAGCTGCGTTGTACATACTATGGAAACAAAAATTAAAAGAAAATTGGATTTCCAGAGACTGAGCTGAGATTAAATGATTTCATGTCAGGAGTGAAACAGGTCCCTTTTCACATCTCCTGTTTTCCTTTGTGATCTCTTTTTGTCTTTGTTTCCAGGCAGGGGTGAGTGGGACGGCTCCTCCTGCCGCAAGAGGCTACCACTCATCTGCGTTTACAAACCAAAACTGATGCACCCTTAACCTGTCACTGAACCACTGATGAAACATAACTGGCTGCTGCGGGACTTGGAATAGAGTTCAGCTGCAATCCATTAGTGCAGAAAAATCTTTTGCATGGAAAAATCAAGTTCTTATACTAAAAAAGCAGAGCTATTATAGCTTTTCTTTTCTGTTGGCATTATTGTGGCAATGTTCTTGTAGACTATGTTTAAAATGATGTTATAAAAATAAATTCTGATTAGATTTGAATGCTTGATGAAATCAGCATAGCATTTAGATTTTCCACAGGGTGTTCAAGAATATTCATAAGAGCTCTTTAATTATTAAATAATTACAAATCACTCATTAAAACATTATTCATTTCACCATTTAATCATGCCAAGTCATACATTTTAAACCCTAGAATCTTTCCTTTCTTGGTGCCAGATAGATCCAAGGAAAGTTAATTGAATGTTTTTAATATTTAAGTAGTTAAATGGCTAGCTCAGTAAACTGCAATAGAGCCATAAGATGAGTCCCAAATCACAGGGAGAACTCATGAGTGTATCACTGGGCCCAGGAGGTGGTGCACCGCTTTGTGAACTGCATAGGATGACACTTACTATCACGGTTAGGTTTGTCTAAGTTCTCAACATGATCCATGACTGTGTTCCCCAAAGGCAAACATTTTCACTCTGTTTTCCTTAGTTCTAAGTACCCCTATTGCTTTTGACTCCATTAGTTACTTGCAAGCTCCTATTCCAAGGTACTTTCCCTCACTGTCCAAGAAGGTAAATGGAAAAGCTTGGGCCAGGAATGCTTGCTTGACTCGTCCAGGTAATGACAAAAGACCTCATCAGTTAAGAAGAATGAGGATGCTAGCAAAAAATCAGCTAGCATTTTAGCCATCCCATTATTCAGCACAACCTCAGAGGATGATTACACCAATATAAACAGCAGCTGCCTTATTTACCTAAGGGTTTGCTATAAAGCAGGTGTCAGATTTTCCCCTTCATGAGTAAACTAAGGGTATGAGCAAGCTAAGAGTAAGAGTGGGTCAAGGGCTTCCTGGGGATCAGACTCACCTGCTGTTAGGAGAAAAATGTCTAGCATGGGTAGTACGTACCTTTTCACATCCATAGGCCTCCTGTGGTGTGGTTCTGCCCAAAAGGGCCGCTGAGGAGCAGAGGGCACCAGCCGCAAGGCCACTCCAGAGACTCATCTTCCTGAGCATGGGGATAGCTGCTCTCCCTCAGAATCAATGACTTTCCCTGTAATTATCTCCAGGAACGCCCACCATACCAAGACAAAATTATATTTTATACAAAACATATTTTTTTTCCTGGCTGAGTGTTATTCCGACATTTTAATAACGTCCACAGTGGTTTGTTCAGGGTCACAGGGGAAGATGGTAGCAGAGCTGGGGACAAAGTCGAGGAGGATCTCATTCTCATTCTCATTCTTCGAACCTTCTATCTGCTGAGGAATGCAGCTTCCCAAATCAAAGCGACAGGGTGAGTTCAAAGGGGAAGCAACAAACTGACCAGTTAATCCAAGCATCATTTTTACAAATGACACTACATCCTACTGCCAGAGATGTGGCCCACTCCTTGACCTTATCTTTTGGCAGGATTTCTTTGCCTAGAGAGAGCAAAGGATTCTGTGTCCTTGGGGGAGAGTTATGAAGAGCCTTATTAGTCATTGAATACAGTTCCTTTTCTTCCCCAGCAGGCTCCTATAGATTCAGTATCTGCAGAAATAGCCACAGAAAGGCTGACAAAATATCCATCTGCTTTACAAGGTCACCATGCAGTGTGGCCACCAGTGTTCAGACAGTAAGACAGTACAGGCTACAAGCCTGCTGTGCCACAGAAAGGCAGGTCAGAAAGGTGGACAACATTGCAAATATGCAGGTGTAGCGAAACAGAGGTCTGTGACACCTAGAAGTTATAAATGTATTAATCAGAATATAATTAATATTAATCTGCCTTCCACCCAAATAGGTACAAGGATGGTGTAACTAACAACAGAACGTCAGTATTTTGTAACACTTAAGGCACAGCAAGCTGCAATGTATAAGCATTTTGCGTAAGTACGTGAGCAACATGACTACCAAAGACGAGTGTAGTTGCAGGTAGCTGGCATCCAAGTAACAAAAGTTGCCAGGCAGAGGATAAGATAAGCACAAGGCACTGCAAATAGTCAGGACATCCTGCCAAATACACAAGAAAGGTGACTGGCAGAGCCAAAACCAAGGTAAGCGATACTGGGAGCAGATGAGTTCCTCCTTTTTGAGAACAGGAAATAGCATAAAACCATCAGGCATAAGCAAGAAAAAAAAATCAGAGAAAAAAGAAGACCAGCCTGCTTCAGTTCTGGCTTCTCTCATCAATGAGCTCTCAAGCTTGATGACCCAGCCTCAGCAACTAGGGACCACCAGACCATAGCCATCAGTGCCAGCTGTGAGGAACAGGCTGCCCAGGGGGGTTGTAGAGTCTCCTTCTCTGGGGATATTCAAAGCCCACCTGGATGAAGTCCTGTGCAACCTACTCTAGGTGAACCTGCTTTAGCAGGGAGGTTGGACTGGATGATCTCCCAAGGTCCCTTCCAAACCTTGTCATTCTGTGATTCTGTGATCTCCGCAGCGCTGTGTACTCACAGCTGACTTAACTTAACATGGCTGTTAAAGACCAACAGTGATGATGCTGAGCAATGTGTGGCAATTAGCCATGAGCAGAAATGGTGTTCTTCATGAATGGATTTAGTAAAGTTAAAAGCTTAAAACTTCCCTGCTCTAGACACTTCCATGACAGCAATTCCTAATTCCTTAACTACATGCACACATTCAGTTTGCCTGTCTGCAACACGCGTTTTCTGCAGCAGTAGGAAATTCTTTGCAAGAAGTCGTAGCTGATCCTGAAGAGTGCACACATATAAAAACCCTGAGGTGCTATAATCAGTGTTTTTCAAGATGGAAAGGCTTTCCACAGCAAGGGGAGAATGACTGATGATTTAATAATGTAAACTCCATATCTTCAGCATCGATACAAACCATTCTACAGGATCTGTAGCTTAATCTGCATTCCGTGGATCACTTAAGCTATTTAAACTAAAGCAATTGCTCCAGTTAAGTTCCTAATGAATATTTGTTCACACCAGAGAAGCCTTATCACAGTTACCAGTAACTCGCAATTTAGCACATCTGCGGGCAAGGTCAGCAGAAATAGCAAGACATTGGGCAATGAACTTAAGTCTTGCCCCAGAATGAAAACAGTCACTTTTTATCATTCACAGATCCTTCTGAAAGTGAGCAAAACTGCACCTTATTTACAAATGGGCAGTAATGGGATGCGGGAGGGGGTGTAATAAGTTTATGGCCTATTTTAACACTTCAGGACAGTGTCAGTGGCTGGAGAGAGAAACCACAACTCTCGTCTTCCAGCCCAGCAGCCTGGCCTGTCAGCTAGGCTGCCTCCTTCCAGAGCATGACAGCACCTCTGGGTGCCAAAAGATGGAGAAAAACTCCTGGGGTGGAATTTTTCATGCTAGCACCTTTAGGCATCCAGATGCTTTTGAAAATGTGACCCACAGGCGCCCAAGCAGACTAGCTTTGAAAAATTTCCTCCACCCTATTTATGAGCAAAGGTCTTCCATTTTCAGACAATAACCTGAGCACCCTCCCTGAGCTTTACATTTTTGAGAATACTGTTTATTAATTGCTTTTTAAAAAAGTAATTAATTATCGTGTTCCCAACTTAAATGAATGTATCTGTCTACACGCTGTGACCATGGAGTAGAATCATTTTGCTCATAATTTATATTACAGTGATGCCTAGAGGCCATAAGAAGAAAGAAGGCTTCATTATCCTAGGTGGTATCCAGGTTGCCAGGAAGATATACTCCCTTGCCCTGAGAATTTATAGCTTAATTTATGAAAAAGAGCATTAGGGCTGATGAAGGAGAAAGTTTCTTAAGAAGCTATGACCTAATTTGCCATTCTGGTTTTCCGTGCTCTCTTGCAATGATGATGACCCTGCTTTGAAATATCTGGGCTGTTTGTTCTCGTGTGGCAAAACACAACATGGAGGCATGGGGAGAGGAGCACCACTCTCCGCAGAAGACACATTTGATCGGGTGTTCGTTAAATTGTCTACTCACAGACAACTGGACAGAAATGTGAGACAATACAGCTGAGAGGGCTTCGCCAAACCATCTGAACTTTGTGGTAGCCCCATACGAGGGTTTTATTGCCATCAGTCAATCAACCAACATGTTTGGCCTAACTTGTGGGTTCTTTTCCCTCAGGCAGTCGATGACATTAGATTGGTGTCATGTTAACACAGCTCTTTGAGCTATGCAAACAGAAGTTTAGTCCTGATTTGTGTAAGCAGCTACCACAACATGCAAGCAAAAGGGGTAAATGCGAGTACTTAAGCACAGGGTTTGTTTTGTGATGGAATGGACCAGAACAGCACACCAAAACATATTTTGGAAGGAAAAGAAAATTGCAAGTACTCCAAACTGGCATTCTGGACCATCCTTCCACAAAGAACTAAGCGTGGCTGGACCTGTAACTTCACTCTTATGCTAAGATTTAACAGTAGGATTAGGGGACATCAAAGAACAGTAAGAGGAAGCATATTCAAAATAAACAGAAGAAAGTAGTTCTTCACAAGCAGAATTCTGTAACAAAGGAATTGTATATCCAGAAAGTGTTATATAGGTTCCAAGGAAGACTGAAAAGATTGGAGAAGTCCACTGAAGGTCAACAAACCCTGGCCAGGCTCAGAAAATTCCTAACTTTAAAGAGTGAAGGCTGAAAAAGTATTGAGGGAAAACACTAGAATTACTTGCCCTCTCTTACACTCTCCCCTAAGCCTCCAGTTCTCATCAGCACTGGAATCAGTACACAGGACCAGAAGAACGTTTGTTTTGACCTGACACTTTTGTATTGCATTTCATGGTCTTAACAAACATACCAAGATTTGGGGGTTTTTTTTGCTTTGGGTGGGGTTTTTAATGTCTCCTCCCTCCCACAAACCAGGAGGCAAAAGCATAGCT